TCTCCGATATGAACGCAGTTGATTGACGCCCACCGTAATTAATAGATATGAAACTGGTCTATGCTGCCGAGGATTTCCAGAGGGAGAGAGCGTCCTGGCCACCCATCATTCATTATAATATCCTGCGTCAAGTTGTTCGGATCGTGACCCTATTGGAGGAGGCCATTCACGAGCAAAATGGTCAGCAAACTACTAGACCGAGCATGAGCAGCGAAGCCTCGACAACTGTCACCGGCACAGGGCGCCGGCAGTCCCTCGATAATCGGTTCAACACTGAACATCAGGGCCTCTGCTTACGGCTGAAACCACTCATGGACGTCGAAGCCACCATGACCAAGCATCTGCTCCAGTCGATACACAGACGTGATGGAGAGGAAGTATGCGTCCATTCCTACTTTTCTTGGAGAAAGTACTTTCACCCCAGCCAAGATCCCGAGTACAATGCCCGCAATAGTCGGACCGTCGGTGATTCTTTAAAGACCGAAGTCAGCACAGTCCTGAATAACTCGCGTGGCTATGTCCTTCGTCTCTGGAACGACCCTTGTGTCCGCAGGTTATTACATTCGCAAGCCATTCAGCTGGAGCATGAAGCAGGGTTCTTCCTCGACGACCTAGAGAGAGTGACTGCTCTGGAGTACGAACCAACGGATCGTACGTACAGCCCACCCTATGCGCCATCCCCCTGATTTTAACTTTTTTTTGAAATTTGAACTCTAACCCGATCAGTTGATGTCTGCAAGGCACGCCTGAGGACAGTGGGTGTTTCCGAAACCCATTTAAAGGTCCGGACAGGTTTTAGCCACTCGGATTGGGTCGTTTACGATGTGGGCGGCTCCAGGACGCAGAGAGCCTCGTGGAAATCCTTCTTTGATGATGGTCAGTCTCTGAAATTTCCAATGTCCAATACCCCTCGCTAATTATTACTTGTGTAAAGTGAATGCTATCGTGTTCCTCGCTCCGCTAAGCGCCTTTAATCAAAAGTTAGAAGAGAACCCCCGAGTTAATCGGCTAGAGGATTCCCTATTGATGTGGAGGGGTGAGCTCTATTCTCGGAAAATAGTTTAATTATGCTCACCTCTCTAAAGATATCAGCTCTTCAGCTCTCCTTTCTCGAGCGCACCTCGTGAGTTTTGCTCCGTCTCGTGACCCTGCCATCCGCTGACCGGTCTCTCAGATCCTTTTCCTGAACAAAATCGACTTGCTCAGGAAAAAGTTGGAGCAAGGCATCGAATTTAATGCCTTCCTCACTGGCTATACGGGGAGCAATGAGAGCGATGCTGTTGTCAAGCATATGAAGAAGAAATTCCTCGCTGTATACAAAGACGCTCAAGAAAAGCTCAAAGACGAAGACAAGGCGACAAATCGCACTGTTTATGTGTATCCCACTTCTGCTCTTGACCTTCGCGCCACGCGTGGCATAATTTGTGAAGGTATGAGCGCGTAGTGTCTTCTTTCATTTTCATTATTGACCATCATCTTCTCTCAGTTCAAACCTCTATATTGAGTCAACACCTGAAAACAAGCGCCATGGTATAATCCTCAAGTTCGTCGTTGTTAGTTTTGCAAGTCCTGTGCACCGGTTTCTGGGCTTTCTGTGTACTTT